CCGCGAGATGGCATCATGTGCTGGCGCAAGTGGTGTACAAGTGCGCACAAGCCATATCTTCCGGACAAGATACATCAGATGGGGGAAACGGAGGTTCCCGTACTGATCCAATATCTGTAGACTGCCCCATGTGCATCATGCTGGTACCTTGCAATACTCGTGTCTGATGAGTTGGTGGTTTTTGGGCGGTTGGTGCTACGACCATGGGTTGGTAAGGACTCTGAGAGTAAGAATGTAAGTCCCTGTTTGTGGCTTCTGGTGCTTGCCACCAAGTTTGGCCATCGGGTGTTTGAAGGTCTGTTGAGTAATGGAAGGAGGGTGCATCAATAGATTCACTATTCCACGAAGACATAGACGACGGCTCCGAGTGCTGGGAACGGATAATATGATGGCTGGGCGGAGAAATCGGACTGGCTGACGTTGCAGGTCTCTGTTGGTCGACGTAAATATGCCTCATCCCTTGATCTGTACATGGACCCGAAATTGGTGTATGCCGGGAGTGGTTAACCATGGGAGACTGCGAGTAGGTAGATTCTGCGTCGTGGTGATTGTTTTGTAAGCTGCTCTCTCCCTCAGTTAAACGTGCTATGTTTTCAGATGGCTCTGGCTTCGGTGGTGATGTTGGAGGGAGAGCGATTTGGTAATCGTGAGCTTGGATGTTGAAGGCCTGAAAGCGGTTCGCCCACGAGCTCTGGTAGGCCATGTCAAGGCTTGCGTTCCCTGGGGAGTGCATCAAGTCCAAGTGTGCGCGATGTTTGCGAATCGATGCTCTAGGGTTATTTAATTCGTGATGGCGAGGTTCACTTGAAGACGAGGGGCTGTTCTTGTTGTATATATGGTGGAGAGGTGATGATGATGAAGATGTGAATAGACTGGCATCCTTGTTGCCATGAAACATAACTTCCAAATCAGGGCCCGGGTCTCCGAATTCTGAATAGCTATGACTGGGGCCAAAATTTTGCTTATCATCCATTTCCAACGCTTGGCCTGGATGAAAGGATAACATTCCATTGCGCAGATTACGAGTCTGCAACGCTTTGCAGGGTGTTCCTGCATCAAAGAGGGTGTTGACACCACTGGCAAATGCTGCTTCTTGTCCCTCTTTGTCGGTAACATCATGCAGAGTCTGCATATTAATGTGCTGGTTGAACATAGCACGGTGCGAACGATCTCTGGCTCAAAAATAATTGGCGGGGCTTTGTCGACCGTTTTCATCAGATTTCTGCCTGCTTGAGGTGATAATTAGCTATGAGGGCGGGGCAGAAGGGGCACCTTATAATATAAAGGAGATGTGAGGAAATCATACGCCCAACAAGTAAGGACACAGGGCTTTTCCCCAACAAATGGCACCTACAGGCAATGACAAAGGATCCCCAGATGGTTATTAACTCTGGGAATAACTCCCATAGAGCAAACGGTTAAAGCGAACAAAGCAGAGAAAGGGTGTTTGCAAAGTCAAATCAGGCTCTAGATAAAAATTAAAGATCCCCTCACTTTAAATATAATCGCAGTTCTTCGTTCAGAGGATGTAGATGGAATTCCGTTATTCAAAAAATTGAAAGAAAACAGCGCGGAGGAAAGGGGGGTGCGGTTTTTATGATCAAGTCTAATTAACAAGTTAACAACTGACAGAAATGATTTACCATCTCAATACTTGACGGTCATCCACCGTCGCGGTGGCACTGTGGACCCGGCATCCTGCTCAGGCCGTGAGAGAAATATTTTTGAGCATGCTAAAAACACTCGCAGGAGAATCGAGACCCCAAGGCGAGGCCATTACCGTGGATTGCAAAAAGCCGTTAGGGTTTGAAGCATTGAAGACAAAGGAAATGGTGTCCAGTAGGACTAAAATAAAATAACAAATAAATAAAATTAAGAAGAAAAAAAACAAAGCCCCCTAAGAAACCTTAACCAAGATCTCCTGATCTCATGGGTAAGTAATAATGCCCATGGAACGAAAGGAAAAAAGCACATACTTGTCATGGAAAGGGAACCACCACAGTCGCACAGGATGGGGTCCAAGTAAAAATAATAGAATCCTTATGCAAACTCAAAATTCCCGAACGTTGATCCAGAATTAGTTTGTCTTGGTTGAACTGAGATATGTCCAACGGCCACAGGCTTATACACAGCAGGTGGGCAAATTGGTGCCTGTAATGCAAAGGCAATTGAACCAATATGAGGTAATTGTTGATAGGAACTAATGTCTGGTTACGACGACGGGGGTCGAGATAAACTTCCGGTAAACTCGTCTGGTCATAGATATGATTTGCGGAGGGAATTATTATGATGCATAATGAAACGCCCAAGTGCCCACCTCCCTCTCCACACGGAAGGCACGAATATGGATCAATTCGAGGCTAATTGTGCCTGATCAATCGTGCCAATGCAGGAGTTAACTCTGGAGTGATTTCTCACTTAGGATCTTGCGGCCCAAATGGCTCCTACATAGGAACCTTATCCATAGACGGCGGATAGAAGTATAAAATGACTTAAGCATTCACGACGTACACGCCATCCACGTTCACGCGGCTAAAGCGCTGCAAGTAGGATAAGAGCACGTTTTGTGGAGTCCATGCTGCAGTATCATGGTTGAAGGACGCACTTCATACTCATGATTTGGAACAATCAACGTTTTTTGGCACAAGCGCCATTCATGTAAAGAGCAATGAGGTGCTATCCGGTTCGACAATAATTATTAACAAAGACTGTCAAGATTCGCCGCTATGTAGATCCTTTGTCTCAATGACTAGGGCACAAGCGAGGCGTAGACGATCCGTTCCAGGGCGGAAAATAAAATTTAGAGTACATAGTACTTATGTACTTGTATGTATTTGGAAACGTCCGTGAATAGACCGGCCAAGCTCAAACGCACAAGCCATCATGATCAGGCCTTAAAAAAGAACATGCAGGCACGTTCGTTGGGCTTGATCCGGGCAAGAGGGGACATATCCCTGATGGCGAGCGAACCGTGGCGAGGATTCGACCAACAATGGTACCACCTAGCCGGTAAGGAAAAACCTGATTATGATGTCAGCTGCAATCTGGCGATAATAGTGCGGGCTCCAAGATAGGCGGTAAGAATAGAAATTATACCAATAGCGTTTTTGTTGTGGTCTTTGTGTGAAAGATGAAAACTTTGAGGTTGAGGGACGGGGCTTTGTCTTTGTTCTTGATGCTTATGTAAGTTAGTCGCTATGTCCCCCCGTCCCCCGCTATTTTCAGACATACAGAATCCAGCCATGCCTGATATCCGCGAAAGATCCTATTCGGTGCATTGAAATAAAAAATTTTATTCCCTGCAATTTTCTCTGTACGCCTTACAAAATAGCTAATATTAAATGCTTGTACAGATGTAGATTACTCCGTACTATAGAGAGAGCTCGGGAGCTTTATGTATATACATGTACAGTACATACAAGCACAGTACATACATATGCTGTGTACAGAGCCTCCTCGCATTCATTTACAAAATCCAAGATACTTCAATATATATATATGTAAAGCATCGCAGCCATTAACAGCTGACGAGGATTGGCAGATTTGGTCCAAGAACACCGTAAAATACTGAGGGAGCTTATGATATTTCCAGCCGAAAAATATTACTCCCAGCTATGTCAAGCGGCGTTCGATGGAACATATTTTCAGAGACATAATTGGAAGTTTGGCCAGGTTCTCGTGGAAATCAAAGAATCTCAATGTGTTCTTTGCTCTTGATGAAACACCAGCGCAAACAAAATTTAAAAGCCTGTTCACACCACTCTCCCGAGGTTTGGTCTTTGGTATAACATGCGCCTAATCCGCAACTAGCTCTAGATCAGCTTCCAAGAGGATGAAAAAAAAGAAAAAGAAAGGAAAGAAAAGAAAAACGAGAAGAGAAGATAAGAGAAAAGAAAAAGAGACCACCGCTATATCCCTTTACAAAAATCCAGTAAGACAAAGTAACGAGTGATGAGTTGATGACGCAGCACAACAGCTTAGTTAAATACTCGTAAATCAACGGAAAGGGCCTTGTATTGTTATTTGTCATTTGGCGGGAA